GGCGGTACTCAAACTTCCAAAGGGCTATAACTTTGTTACTTTAATTTTACCAGAAAAATGGTAAAGGAAAAAAACATTTCTTTTGATCAGATCTACTCACTGTTAAAATAAATGACTCAACTTCGAAGTCACCCTGTATATCTACAGGGTGTTTCAGTTTATTGTTGCATAACTTTAAGATTCGATAGAACTTTTAAAATCAATACATAAAGTCTATATAAACATGGGTCGAAAAATGCGTGGCTTCCGAAATATTGGTATACAAGGATTTTTTGGTACGACAAAACGAACCATGGGCATAGTTTTACTGTAGCCGCTAGAGGGCGCTCTCTACCGTACCTGTAGTGTATTAAAATGACCGAAAATTTTTTCTTATTGCAATTTTTTGCTTTTTGAATAAAAATACTGATTCCTCGCACTTTTCAACATAAAAAATCTCTCCTGTGAGTTTTCGTTATAGTTAGCCGTTTTTGAGATATTTCGATTTTTAAAGTTCGATGCATTTTTAATTATTTATGGGAAAATAATATTTTTTTTTACATTTTCGATTTGGGCATTACAAGTAATTAAGATGATTGTTTAGATTGTGTTTTTAAACACAGCAATAATTCCTAACTCCAAATAAACAAAAAAAAACAGAATATTAATTTGTTTAATTTTCCAATATTATTTTTAACAACTTAAATTAATTATTTACAACTAAAATGCTATTGGATAGTTAGGACAAACATACAAAATCTAAAGTAGTTGCTCGAAATGTAAACCCAATTGTTCAATACACAATTCACATCTACGAATGATCGAACGTGGTATAGCATTATTCAAATAAGGCCTTATTTCATCACATGCATTCCTGATTGTCTATTAGCATATCTCTTGTGGTTACGGGAGTCTGGTACACTTTTTCTTTTAGAAATCCCCACACAAAGAAATCTAATGGATTTAGGTCAGGGGATCGTGGAGGCCAGGCGACTGGTCCATCTTTCTGGATAATTTTCGTCCAGCCAGTTTCTAACTATTCTCGAATGATGAGCTGGACAACCATCAAGCTGGAACCAGGCCAATCTTCTTAAATCTAACATAACATCATCCCACATATTTGCATGTTCAAGCCTTTAAAAATTCCAAGAAGGTCGCAGCATTTAACCTTGCAGGCAAAAGGTAGGGTCCAAATAGTCGATTACGGTAGATACCAATCCACACGTTCACACTAAATTCATGCTGAAAATTTCTTTCCTGAACTGCATGCGGATTGTCATGCGACCAAATATGTTGATTATGAAAATTTACCACTCCACGTCTAGTGAAGCATGACTCATCGGTCGATAAAACGTTACTTAAAAACTCACTATTATTATCAGTTCTATCAAGAATCCACTGACAAAATGTGATTATTCGTTCTCCGTCCCCTGGCTGTAGTCCTCGCACAGGTTGCAAATGGTAAGGACATCTATGGTCATTTCTAAGAACACGGTGAACATGACTTGATGAAATTCCCAAGCCACCAGAAACTCTCCTAACACTTGTGGTGGGATCTCTATCAAACTCATGCAGAATCATACGTTTAAATCTGCGCTGACGAACATATATGTTTTGATCCCTGTGGAGATTTCCAAAACCATTTTCAATTATTTGGCGATGCACTCTTACAAGTACTGAGCGAGTTGGATGTCTTCGTGTGTATTCTCTGGCTGCTTCTGCTGCGTTTCCATTTACAAAGCCATACACAAAATGAATATCCTCTAACTCTTGATTGGAGAATAAAAATGGCATTTTTATAAAACTTACAAAAAAAAAACAGGTGAAAGAAACTAAATTTCGTGCATTCACAATTGCAAAAAACGTTTCAGGTTTCAACAGACAACAAAACTAACTGTCAACTAATTGACGTTTAACCTTATTCTGCTTTCAATTTCAAAAATATTTGCAGGCACAGCCTACTTCTAAAAATTATCGAGATACTGACTTTTTAACGTTATTTTATCATATATAATTAAAAATGCATGGAACCTTAAACATCGAAATATCTCAAAAACGGCTAACTATAACGAAAATTCACAAGAGAGCTTTTTTATGTTAAAAAGTGCGAGGAATCAGTTTTTTTATTCAAAAAGCAAAAAATTGCACTAAGAAAAATTTTTCGGTCATTTTAATACACTACAGGTACAGTAGAGAGCGCCCTCTAGCGGCTACTCTAAAACTATGCCCATGGTTCGTTTTATCGTACCAAAAAACCCTTTGATACCAATTTTCACTGTTATACATCAAATGTTGTTCGAAATATTTAAAAAAAAAACTATTTTAGAAAGTAAATTGAAACACCCTGTATTTCGGAAGCCACGCATTTTTCGACCCATGTTTATATAGACTTTATGCATTAATTTTAAAATTTCTATCGAATCTTAAAGTTATGCAATAATAAACTGAAACACCCTGTAGATGCTCTCTTGACGATTTCTATACAAACTTTTTTCAAGAAAAAAATAAATTATTATTATTATGAACTATCTGCACACTAGGAACTATCAAGTTAGCATCTTGCCATTTTGTCAGTTTTATAGGTTTTTTTACGTAATAATCGCCCACATCTACCTAGCTAAAACTTCCTACCCTGCGCCCGTGTCCGCCATTCTACCTCGTATCGTATCTCGTATGTGAAAACTCAACTGGGCCCATAATTTTCTTCGGCCGTATTAAAGCTCGGACACGTAGATGTCGCTGGTGTCGTGTCGCCCCTTAATTTAGTATTTTTATTATCATGAATAATGTTTGGTTCAGTTCGCTGCTTATTAGGTATTCAGCATGTACCCTGCTCGGTGCTTTCACGCTGAATTACCTATTAAAAATATTACTTACTTTTATACGGAGAATATGAAACAGCCAGTTGGTAAGGCTTTATGGAAGGTTCATTTAGTGCCTCGTCATGCTCCATCAGTACATTATTACTCACTATACCGGGCGGTGCGGGAAAATTTGAACAGACTAATGTGTTAATAAGGCAAAATTTCGAAAGAGGGATGGGTTTTTTGAATGTTACATCTAGAAAATAATATAATTAGTGACAAAAAAACGTATGTTTATTATAATTCAAGAATTTTTTACATATCTATTTATATTGCCACGGACAGCAAGTGATAAAATGCCTGGAGAATGATGTTATTGGTAAATATTGTCTTAAAAATACCGAAAAATCCGGTTCAAGTCCATGCATAGACAATCTGAAATTTGCGATATGAATTTATATTCTAAATTCTATGCATATCCGTTTACATTCGTCAGTATTTCATTTGAAGCTTTTATTTATCATAAGATTTTAGAAAAATGGAAGTTAGTAAAGGCAACACCGCACCCTGCAGCCCAGTTGACAAGAACGACAAGCTGTCAAGATTAGGGATGTTTAGATCCACGAAAAGTATCGATATGTATCGATTCTTATCGTTTTAGGAAGTATCGATGCTCTAAAACAGAGTTCCCCAAACTTTTTTGTGTCGTAGACCCCTTGCAATGTTTTTCCGTGTTGGGTAGACCCCCTACTTACCTGATATTGTAAATTTCTAACTGTAGTGAAGTTTAGTGTTAAAAACTTAAAGTAAAAACACATGTTAATTTATACATTTATTAATTGAATTTAAATTAAAACTACTCAAAATAAAATTTTGTATCTGTTATGTAAAATATACGTAACATTAAATAAACAGGTGTCTGACCAATAAGTGCCCGCATTGAAAAAAAATAAGAGGGATAAAATAAAAAAAAAGTGAAAAATAATAAAAAAAAGTATTTTTACTTAAAATAGTACAATAAGCGAGTTCGTTTATTAATTATTACATAAACGTATGTTCTACAATAATTTCACTGTTAGTTTGATTAAATTCTGCTTCTTATACGTTTATGTTATCTAAAAATAGGCAAAAAATTAACGAATTTTAGTGTGTACCTATCCTTGAATTTTCAGAATAATTTAAAAAAAATAAAGGGCGGTTCTTTAAAAAAATCAATGCGGGCACTTATTCCCAATGCGGGCATTTACTGGTCAGACACCAATAAACATAAAATAAACTATAAATAAAATAACATAGGCAATAAGTCAATATTTTTAGTGAAAAGGATGAACCTGATGCTTTAATAATAAATTATCGACATTTGGCGTCAATTTTGTAAGGGTTAATCTTAAATCTCGTCGGCTAATGATGTCCAGTCTGTTTCTTTTTTTCGTTAGGAGATTGGTAACAGCGCCGACCCCCCTTTCCACTAGGTTTGACGATGGAAAGGAAATTAAAAATTTCCTCGCTATATTCCATAATACGGGATAAGTAACGGGTATGTTGTTTTGCAGCCCGAATTGCTGATATCCGTTTTTAAACTGAACCTTAAGTTCTTCGTTTGTACTTAGTTCAGTCAGTTCCTCTTGTATTATGACATTCGTTTCTTCTATGTCACCATATGGATTAATTATCAACGGTGGTATTACCATAGTCAAAATATCTTCAAACCTAGATTCAAAATCTGAATAGAGGGCATTTAAATGTTGAACGTCAGTTGAAACGTCGTCTTCCTGGCAGCTTGTCTGTGACAAATTGGGGAACTGAGAAAATTCGCCCCGTCCAATATTTTGCTTCATTAGTTTACCTCTGGCAAGAAACGCTGATAAGATGGACTTTGTTTTAATCAAATTTAAACTGTCGCCTTGTAATTGCAAATTAACCATATTAAATTTTGTAAACAAATCTGTTAAATAGGCGATGTCTGTTCTCCTCTTCATTAAATTTTCTTTTAAAATTTTATCTTTAGTATCCAAAAATTCTAAAATAGTCTCAAAAAGTGCAAAAAATCTTGTCAAACATAAGCCTTTCGACAGCCAGCGTACTTCAGTGTGAAGGAGTAATTGATGAAAGTGTTTGTCATTTTCTTCACACAACTGCCCAAATAACCGCATATTCAACGCGTTGCTTCGGATTCGGTTTACTGCGTCAATGACTAAATGAAGTGATTCATGCAATCTAACACTCAACATCTAACACTAAATGTTGTCGATGGATGACGCAATGTATTGCTAACACCCCTGACACATTTTGTTTTAAATAGCTTATAAATCCACGATTACGTCCAACCATGGCAGGTGCTCCATCTGTAGCTACTGATATTATATTTGATAAAGGAATTGCTTTTTCAATGAAGTAATCCTTCAAAACATAAAATATTGATTCACCTTTAGTGTCGGTTATCAAAGTTCTTGTGAAGAGCAGCTCTTCGTAGATTTCTTGATTCATAATAAAACGAACATATGCCAATAATAACGCTGCATTATCAGGTAAAGTTGACTCGTCCAGTTGTATAGAGAAATGGGTCGTTTGCAAATAATTACATAAGAAGCTTTCAATATCAGAACTCATTTCATCAATACGTCTTTCAACAGTATTGTTGCTTAAGGGAATTCTTTTAATGATATCAGATGCAGGTTTGTGTAAAACAGTTTTTAAAACCTCTTCAACGGCTGGCAAAATGAACTTCTCTCCGATAGTATGCGGTTTTCCAGATTTTGCTATAAGTAACGAGATATTGTAAGACGACCGCAAACCATCATCATTTCTTTGTGACGTCGAAGCGAGCATTCTGTCCGGTGTAGGTCTCTTCTGAAATTTATCTTTGAGTGTTTGAAAGTATTTCAAATCTTTCTCTGTTTTATCAGGGTGACATCTTCTCAGATGATCTTGCAGTTTAGATGGTTTCATAGCGTCATTGCCCAAAACTTTGTTGCATAAAAGGCACATAGGCGATTGTTTGTCCGGCAATGATGGAATAAAGCCAAATTTCAAATAATCAACACTGTACTGTCTAAATTTCTTTTTAGATTCGGACATGGCATCAGTCATCTGTGGGCAAAATTAAATTATTTAAATAAGACAGAAAATCTAGCAGCTGTATATTAAAAATATTTTTTGATTTTTCCGAAAACATTCCATAATTCAAACATCTTCTTGAAACAATTAGCTCGAATTACGGAGATTGCACTGTAATTATAATACCGATTGCTAAAACTTTCAAAAAGAAACTATTGAGGAGTACTCGTGTAATTTTGCATGATTGAATATTTAACTACTAATAACTAAAGTCATGATTGGCGTAATTTATCTAGCTTTGCTAACTACGAGTACAAAACTAAAATTTAATAAAAAAAAATGTACTTACTTTTCTCCAGCACTCTCAAACAAAATAACACTAACTCACTATAATTTGTGTGATATACTATCTGTCTATATTTTTTAAAATATTTTCTTAGCACTTTCCTTTTCAAGATTCAGGAAACGAATAAACGTATTTGTCCCACATTCGTGTTTATAGAGTGACGAATTGAACAAGTCAGTGCAAGGTAGCGAAGCTCTGAGACTGCGACTCTCAGGTTTTTACAAGTTCAAAACGTATTGCGACCACAAAGCGAATACCAACGTCCTACAACTTACACAATTTTATAAACATCTATAATAAATTTTTTACTTCATAGGTACTTTTATAAATAATGTATATGTTTTGATATTATAAGATAGTATGATGTAAGTAAATAGGTACTATCAGTGTATGTGTTGAGATCCACTATCGTGGACCCCCCCCCATATTCATTTCATGGACCAACCAAATATTTTTTCGCTGACGTACACCCCTTGCAGGTTGTGATAGACCCTAGGGGTCGATATAGACCACTTTGGGAATCAATGCACTAAAATATTGGAATAGAATTATCGATATCCAGCGGAAGGAAACAAAGAAGAAAAGTAATCTGACGTTAGTCACTCTTTCTGACACAGTCCGGATCGACAGATGACGATACTCGTGAAATGTATCGATACTTCTAAATATATAGGATCGTGTCGAACATCCCTACTGTCAAGATGTATAACCCGAGGTACCGAAAAAAATCAAACACTTTTTTAAATTCTGACTAAACAATATGTAATTTCTTAATATTCAATAAGCTGGTGATGACATTTCATACTTATTGGTTGCTAAAATTTGTTGATTGGAACTTGAAGCTCATTCGCTGTATCTGACGGACTGTGACCCTATAGGTGGAGAATAACGGACTGTTGATTTGACAAGCCTGGTGAAATCCACCCTTATAACATTATGAGATAAGCCCTCCACTATCCTCCATAACTGTCATACCTTCTTATTTAGATCACGAATGACGAAGGATTTTCTCGCCACCGTGCACAATCGAAGATCATAACGAAGGGCCAAAAAAATCTCGCCAGAGACACGAGAACCCTGTAACTGTGGTCAGTGACCTGCAAGTCACACAAACGAAAAAACTACCCTTGTATTTACTGGCGTTTAGCCTTTTCCGTGCGAATTCGCTCCGCTTCCGGCATACCCAGAAAACGTTCAAAGAAAAACTCAGCGAGTTTCAAAGTGCAAGCAGATTTATCCGTATCAAGGAAATCTTTATGAACCTGTAGCTTTAATAAGCACTTCTGCGATAACACTAATTGCAGCTTAGCACGAATTCCGCCGGTATTTTTACCACATTTGCGAGAAATCAGATACGTTTATTGACTTGACGAAGGCGACGTTTTATGGTCGAAAAAACGTCCCGTACCGTTACCGCCGAGAGTACGAGGCATAACAACAGACGCGTGACGTCACTACGAGTAGGACCTGATGTAAATAACAAATAATTGAGAAAAGTGTTTTTGGTATATGAAGGCAACTTGGTGGAAAATATTAAAGTAGTTATTAACTATTTTCACCGTTCAACGCTCTAAAAATGAATATTTCAGCCGCAGTAAAGAATCAACGTTGGCGGATTTTGGTTCATCGGTTACGATGCCTAGAGTACGGAGACCTGTACGATTTCGTCAACTTAGTGAGTTTGATAGGGGCCGTATAGTGGGACTTCGGGAAGCTGGACTTTCTTTTCGGGCAATTGCAGTTAGAGTGCAAAGAAGTGTAGACACTGAGGTTAGGTGTTGTCAGGCATGGCTTCGAGAAGGCCGTACGCAAAGAGCAAGGGGCACTGGACGCCGCCGTAGAACAACAGACCGTGAAGATCGCCGCCTAAGATTATTGGCCTTAAGGGACCGTTTCTCCACTACCAGGTCCATTGCAAATGAATGGTTTGCAGAACACGGAAGACCTATTGGCATGCGAAGTGTTTACCGACGAATGAGAAGTTTTGGCTTGTTTTCATACCGGCCACACTGGGTCCTCCCTTTAACTCGAGAACACCGACGTAATCGCCTTGAGTGGTGCAGACAACGGTCACTCTAGGATCAGGAATGTAACAGTATTGTCTTTAGTGACGAGTCTCGATTTTGTTTAGGCATGCACGATGGTCGTGCCAGGGTTAGAAGGCGACGTGGTGAAAGGAGGAATCCACAGTTTTTTGTTGAAAGACATGTTCATCACACTGTTGGAGTTATGGTTTGGGGTGCTATAGCTTATGGTTCCAGGTCACCTTTAACCTTCATCAGAGGTAACACGAACGCGTAACGTTATATCCACGAAGTTCTAGAACCCCATCTTTTACCCTATCTTGACACCCTGGCAGATCCAACTTTGCAACAAGATAATGCCCGACCACATTATTGCAAGAGTCACAATAGACTTCTTTCAACATAATGATGTCACATTGTTACCATGGCCACCAAGATCTCCCGATTTATCCCCAATTGAGCACGTGTGGGATATGATGGGTAGGAGATTGCTCAATTTGCAACGTCCTTCTCAGACTCTAGAAGCACTTCGAGAGGAGTTGGTGGTTGCCCGGAATGAGATACCACAGGAGGACATTGTCCACCTGATCATTTTGAAATTTTTATCATTTACTTATTATGCTTCATTAAGTACTTATACAAAATTTTATTAAAATAAAACCATTTAAACTGGGTGTTCGGATTTATATGTCACTTACAGTATATTCAGATAAGAGATAGACCGGACATAAACAAGACCACGTGATCATCGAACGCTGTAACATTCGGCAGGGACGTATTAAGAGTCACGCAGTACATATTTTAGATAGTAGATGCTGCTTTGCGTAACTTTGTAGTAAATTAGCACAATTCGATGTGTATACGATTGGTGATGGATATAGGATCATGTGGGGGTGGGGTAAGAAATATATAATGATGTAAATATACATAAGGGTTTCAAAATTTTCGCTTCGATTTCCAGCTTCGGATGCCGTCTGATGTTTGGTGAAATACAGTCGAATATAATCTCAAAATGGCGTTTAATTTAGCCTAAATTAAAAATAATCGTATATCTCTTAAAATTGCTTTTAGAATATTGATTAGTATATTTTTTGATTTCTCGGTAAATATGTAACCAAATTAAAACGTTCAAAACGTAAAAAAATGTGCATGGTTGAACATTGTCAGAAAGTAGATTCTTGAATAGGTTTTGCCAAAATGGGTTCAAAAATGTCAATTTTTAATTAAAAAATACAGTAGCTTTATAATTACTTATAACTTATAACTTACCGAATTTGATGAACGACATCTTTTATTGGAAAGATGAGCTTGATGAGCTTTCATCATCGCTACTGCCTGAAGCACCAACGTCAATAATGAATGGCTCGACTTGTTCCTCCAAAATATTGTCCAGTTCCCACATTCTCTTTTCAACTTTGTCTTTCACGTGCTTAATACAGTTTTCCCATTTTTGCGCTGTTATTAATTCTAGTGCTTCTTTGAAAAGTCCTTTGAGGTCACAGAATTTAAAAGTTGTATTGTGCTTAGCTATATAATTTTTAACCTCTGCCCATATGAGCTCAATGGGATTGAGCTCGCAATGGTATGGAGGTAAACGGAGCACAGTTTTATTTTGACTTGCTGCCATTTCGTCAATGGCGTATTTTTGATATTCCGCCTTGTGATCCTTGACAATTCTTAATAATTATACTTTCAGCATTGCTTCTTCAAAGTTGATATTTTTCGAGCGGAGCCAATTTTGAACATCAACTTTCCTTGAAGCCGTTGTTGGGACCTTCTCCATTTTTCGAGAATGATAAGGCGCATTATCCAACACAATTACTGCGTTTTCCTCTAAGTTCGGTAAAATTTTTGAAAACCACTGTTCAAACGATTCGCCATTAATTTCCTCGTGGTAATCTCCAGTTTTCTTAGACTCAAAGCACCACAGACCGTCAACAACAAATCCATCCTCACTGCCAATATGGCAGATAATGAGCCTTTTCCCTTTACCTGGAAATCGAAGTACTAACTGGTGTAGATTTATTTCAATAAGCGAACCTTTTTCAAATGTTTTCATCACATTCAGCGAAAAAACATTGAGACATGAGTATCAGATTGCTATAATTGGGATTATTTAGCCATATTGAAAGAAAGAATATTGAACGTCGTATGATTACTCAGCGCTTCACAATTTAATTTAAAGTTATAAACCTCTAAAAAATGAATGATCAGGAACCTGAAATACGCGCAAATATTAATATTAACAAATTATAACTTTATAAAGCTTAAAGTATGAATTAAAATGATTAGAAATATTAGGAACGGTACACAATATAAAACTTAGTAACTTTTTTTAAGTTTATAATATTCGACATATTTTAAGATTATATTAAAAAATTATTGAAATATCGAAAACACATAAAAACATGGCTTAAAAAAGTTCTAACAAATGAAAATGACAATAAAACATCCACGCATTTTATCGAAAGTTATAAAAGTTTTGTTACTTGTAATATGTTTTATCTGCCCCCTGGAATTAATGTTTAGAACCTTGTTCCCAAGGTTTGAGAAACTTCCGA